TAGAGTGAAGAGACAGTAGTACAGGAGTAATAGTAGTACTAGATACTGACACACAAGCCTAGAGCCTCTTGCGGCTGTCAGTCTGAAATTTTTTATATGCAACTCGCACCGGAGTGTAAGTCACAGGAAACACCCAAACCATGAAAAAAAGTGTGACTTATAGTCAGTGCTGGGGAGTAACAGATTACATGTACCGGAGTTACGTAATCAGAGTACAAATTATGAGTAACTGTATTCAGTTACAGTTACTGTTTCAGTGAGTGGTAATTGGATAACATTTACTTTACTGAAATAAATGGATTACAGGGCGGTATTTTCCTGTTTTACATTTTGGGCTATACCACTTTTTTTTTTTCTTTTTTTTTTTTTTTTCGGTAATTCCACTCATCGCCGGAAACTAAACCAGGTCTAAACCAGATCTAAACCAGGTCTAAAACCAGGTCTAAACTAGATCTAAACTAGATCTGAACCAGGACTAAACCAGGACTAAAACCAGGCCTAAACTAGATCTTTGGTAAACCACATTACTTAGCTGGTACAAATTTTAACATGTGCCGTTTTGTTTCTCTATAACTCCCCCTTTACATGAACCCTGCCTGCGGCGCATCACACAGGAAGTGCATGGAGTTCAGTATGCTCGCATTGCTTACCGTCATCATTAGCGTTCACCCATTAAACCCGCTGACGCCTCGTCCCGGCTCATGCGGATGTCGGAGATGCTACGTCACGCTTTCTACCTCGTTAGCTTTAGCGTCCGTGCGTCGCTTGTTAGCCGTTAGCGCGCAGGGGTCACCGCGGAGGTCGCCGGTGATGAAGACTGTGAATCATTATTTATCATACGACGTCTTGAGTCTTATGTAAGTGCGGCTCAGAGGGAGTGCAGGGAGACGCTGGTGGTGACGGTGTGGGGGAAAATAGACTAATAGAAAAACAGGTTATTTGTTTGTCGTTTATTTATAGTTGACTTCATACAGTGCTTTATAATTGTTTTCTCTTGTGGTAAAAATACTATTAATACTTCTAATGTTAAACTACTACTACTACTACTACTACTACTACTACTACTACTACTACTGTCACTACTGCTACTACTGGCACTACCGTTACTACTACTACTACTTTTGATGCTGCTGTTGCCACTAATACTAATACTAATACTACTAATACTTCTGATACTAAACCACTAGTACTGCTACTACTGTCACAACAACAACAACAGCAACAACTACTACTTCTACTACTACTGTTGCTGCTACTACTACTAAAATATCTGATACTAAAGCACTACTACTGTCTAGTAGTAGTACTGTCTACTACTGTCACTACTGCCTCTGTTACTACTACTACTACTACTACTACTACTACTACTACTACTACTACTACTGATGCGGCTGTTGGTGCTCCAGCTACTAATACTTCTAATACTAAGCCAGTACTGCTGCTACTACTGCCACTACTACTAATACTAATACTACTACTAATACTCCTACTATTGCTCCCACTTCTACTACTTCTATTACTAAACCATTACTACTGCTACTACTGCCACTACTACTTCTAATACTGCTGTTGCTGCTACTACTAATACTCCTAAAACTAAACCACCATGACTACTGCCTCTACTACTACCACTGCTACTACTACTAGTCTACTACTTCTGCTGATACTGATACTAATACTAGAATAGCTGCAGTCACACCTTATTGCTGGACAAGTGGCACAAATCGTGTATCCAATTAACAGGCTCTATTTATGTAATTACTTGCCTATACTACTACTATTACTACAACTAGTACAACTGCTACTACTACTGCTACTATTACTACTACTGCTACTACTATCGACCCTTTTAGGAGCGATGTATTTAGAGTAGCTGCCAACAAAACAGCCTGGTACTGATATTAACCTCCTCTCTCATACACTGTAATAAGACCGCAAAAAAAAAAAAAAAAAAGTAAAACACATTCTGTTGTTTGTAAACAGCGTACAGTCTTATGAAAGTATATGTCAGAGGGAGTGCAGGGAGATGCTGGTGGTGACGGTATCAGTAAAAAATAGACTCATAGAGAAACAGGAAGGTTTAATATAGTGCGGGAGTATTTCCAGATGCTCGTGGGTTTTATTTATGGCTGTTGAGTTCATATAGAGTTTAATATTTTTATTCTGGTGATAAAAAGTCATTTACAAGTGAAAACTGGAACACATTTTGTACCCAGTTAACAGACTCTATTTATATAATGACATGTTTTGTAACTAGAATATTACTACAACTAATAATAATGTTTTATTGTTTTAATATGTGGCTTTGAATATTTTTGTTGTTGTAAAGTACTCTGATTTGACTAATACTACTACTATTACTGCTGCTGCTGCTGCTGCTACTACTACTACTTCTAATATTGCTGTTGCCACAACTGCAACTACTATTAATACTTTTACTACTAAACCAATACTACTACTAGTACTACTACTACTACTAATATTTCTAATGCTAAAGCACTATTACTGCTCCTCCTACTACTGCTGCTAATACTGCTACTTCTACTACTACTTATAATACTGCTTTTGCCGCTACTACTACTGCCACTACTAATACTAAACCACTAATACTGCTGCCTACTCTACTGCTACTATTATTAATACTTTTAATACTAAACCACCATTACTACTGCTACTACTGCCACTACTAATACTAATACTTCAAATACTAAACCACTGCTACTGTTGCTACTAGTACTGCTACTACTATTAACGCCACCACTACTACATTTAATACTGCTGTTGCCGCTACTACTACTACTACTACTACTACTACTACTACTACTACTACTATTACTAAACCACAACTGCTGCTTCTACAACCGCCACTTCTACTACAACTATTTCCACTAATACTACTAATACTTCTAATACTACTACTACTAGTAGTACTACTACTTTTAATACTACTGTTGCCGCTACTACAAATACTACTATTATTCTGTTAATAAACCAATACTCCTGCTGCTACTACTGCCACTTACTTCTACTTCAACTATTTCTTCTACTAATGTTGCCGCTACTACTATTACTACTAGTACTACTATTACTACTATTACTACTACTACTACTACTACTTTGAATACTGCTGTTGCCGTTACTACTACTACTTCTAATACTAAACTACAAGAGTAGCTGTGCCCACAGCTTGGTACTGTATATGAACTTTCTATTCTATTTATTTTAATGGGACAACAAGATAAATAAAAGATAATACATTTTGTCTTTTGTAAACAGCACACAGTCTTATGTAAGTGCAGCTCAGAGGGAGTGCAGGGAGACGCTGGTGGTGACGGCGAGGATGAAAAATAAACTAAATAGAGAAACAGGAAGGTTAAATATACTGCAGGAGTATTTCCAGGTGCTTGTGGGTCTTATTTATTGTTTGTTGAGTTCAAATAGTCTTTTATTATTTTAACTCCAGTGGTATAAATAGTTTCTGAGTGAAAAACGGGAACAAGCTTTGTACCGACTCTATTTAAATAACTACTACTACTACTACTACTACTACTACTACTACTACTACTACTTACTACTGGGAATCTGCTGTAAAGGAATGTGTTTTGTTCTGAATTTTGAGAAATTTCACTCTTTGTGGTGTTAAATGGTACCAGTTAAAAGTCTGTATTGGTTATCTAGAGAAAATTCACTTTCACTGTTCACAATTTCACACCAAACATGCTTAAGAAAAAAAGGGATTAATGTTTTGGCACTGGCACAATCCTGATAAAGGCAGCTGTTTGCATCTCAAATCTAATGCTAAGTTTTATCAAAATGGAAAATCTTCATTTACAACATTTTGTTCACTGAGGGATTCATTTGTATTTCGCAATTTTAGCACAACTCGGCAAAAAAAAAACATGGAAATGGAGGATTTGCATACATCATCAACAAGTTATGTATTAATTGAAAACACGCACTTGATGTCAAAAGTTTGGCTGCCCTTTTTCCACTTATCGTTTTTTATTTCCATGTTATTTACCTTGTAGATTCTCACTGAAGACATATGGAATGTAGTAAATGTTTAGATTTCAATATCCACCCTTTGCTATGATCCCTTGTTTGCGCTTTTGGCTTTTCTTGACCCTGACATGACACAGCTGTGAAGGGAAAACCATTTCAGGAGACTTCAATCAAGAAGCTCACTGAGAGAAGGTCAAGGGTTTGCAGTGCTGTCAACAAAGCAAAGACACTGAGAAATGTTATCTGAAATAATAAGTTCTTTAAAGGGACAGTCCGGACTTTTGGACATAGGACCTCATTTTTTTAAATATTCCAGCCAGTCCTTTTATTTGCAGAGGTCACTGGTGCTAGGCTAGTGCATATCAACAACCATAGTTATCCTGCCGCTAAAAACAGTCTTACCCACTCCACAAATCACCCAAAGCAAATCTATTATTACACCAGACTGTCGATGTAAATGTCTGTGTTGATAGAATAATTTAAAAAGTAAAACCAACCTTGCATTTGAAGGATTTATATCTGAGCAGCAGCGGCGGACTGATACCTGCCACCTATCTTACCGGCAAAGTAAATGCTGCTGCTGAGAATATAGTCTCTCAACATTCGACAATTTGTGCAATGCAAGGTTAGTTTTATTTCTAACATTATTCTATCAACACAGACATTTACATCGACAGTCTGGAGTAATAACAGATTTCTTTGGGTGCTTTTTAACCTCTGCAAATACAAGGACAGGATGGAATATTTTAAAAAGTGTCTCCACACGTCGCCAACACTCTGGCTCCTATGAGGTCCTATGTCCAAAATTCCAGACTGTCCCTTTAACTTTTATCTTCGCTACATAATTCCATATATCTTGCCTCATATATTTGATGTCTTCAGTGCATAAATAAAACAAATGAAGTCTAGAAAAAAACACTGACTGAAAGACTGTGTCCAGAATTTTGACTGGCGTGTGTTTATATAGAGCAAAACGAAACCAAAATAAGTGAACTCACATTTGTGCGAGATGAGTTCGTTGAAAGACTCGGACCACCGCACCACCTCGTCTGTGGACAGCCTGCAGACACACAGAGGGGACGAGGATAAACCAGGAAGTAGCTTTAATGTCATGTACATCTTTAACCACAAACAAGTGCATTCTTGTGTAGGCTTATGTAGACCTTTGGGGACATGTATCTTTTATTATATGAGCTGAGGTCTGCGTGTTTATGTTCATGACACAGCTTTTGCATATTTGAAAATTGTTGTTTTGGAGCATGGGTGACGTGGACTTGTGGGCTGAGTCTTTTACACACTGCTAACTGTAAGGAGGATTTAAATGGGCCTGGAAGAGATCGCAAAATTACTCAAATATGCATGGATGACATCTTCAGGCATGTTTTTAATGAAGGAACATTATAACATGGTAGAAAGCTCCAAAAAAAAGTCTTTAAAACCCTTTCTTTGTGTAGTGCTGCCGTGTCCAAACTCACTTCTGACATCGCGCTGTGGTCTCGTGGGCCGGGGGCAGGAACTCGCTGAAGTCGCTGTACGAGTCCGACTTGTGGGACAGGCAGCCCAGTCTGGTCTTCATCCTGGGAATCCTACAACAGACAGAGAGGTGGTCATGTACTAAGAGCTGTAATAAAGATATGTTCATTTTGTTCAGAAGGATCTAAGGCAGTAGGAAGCAAGTGGGAACAAGCTGTGCACAGAGGAACATCAGATGAGTCACATGAGATTTGTAGGGACTTCTAATTAGTTTGTGAAATTCCTCAGTCGTCCAGGTAGGATTCATAGCCAAAGGGAAATTCAATTTTGGACTGGATAAAAGTTTTTTGATCAAATGCATTCCATCCAAGCTGCTTCTTCAGTTCTGGTCACTGAACTGAAGTGAACACTGCCTTTTATCTGCCTGAAGGGAGGAGCTAACTACACTGAAACTACTCTGAAACTAAGGGCCTGTTTACACGAGAACACTTGCGGGTAAAAACACCAAAATATTTTATCAGAAGTGGCTTTCGTTTAGAGGATGACGGTGTTTTTGGGACTTAAAAATACAAAAATCTGAAACCACCCTCGAGAGTGGAAAAGTAGAATACACTCCGCCGTAGCGTTTCCATCTACACTGCCCAAGACACCAAAGTTTGGTCAGATCTGATCAGTATGTGTTTATGTCACATACATCGCCACCTAGAGTCACCACCGAGCCGCCTGGCAAGCAAACCCAATCCACACACTTTTGCGTTACCGTATGCATGCAGATTTCACTCATTCACTCATCTAAACGCGAAATAAAAAGTGAAGATGCAACGCCACTTTTGCGTCTTCTGTCCATCCCGTCATCGTATAAACGTAGCCTAACACACCGATTATTTACAGCTTCTGTTTACTAGCTAGGCCTATTGACCTGCACTGTGTGGGGAGTCATATCAGCAGAATGATTCAGGCCCCTGATGGGAGCTTTCACACCTCTGGGACTGACCTGGCTATTCCTGTTGTTTCCTTAGTTTTGATTTACGTCTGAGGATGGAGTTGTAAATAAGAGAGAGATGATGTCTGAGCTCTCGAAGACGGAATAGTTGCTGATTTTTGTTAGCTGTGAAATGTATTCAATCAAAAAACTTTTGTCCAGTTGATGTGGTAATACAGGAAGTGCACCACCGTGTTTTTAAACTCCATACACCTTCACTAGAATCATTTGGATAATGTCAGCCCTGGAATTGCCAATCTCTACTGAACTAGGTAGAAGGAAGGAGGTAAAAATAAATGTTGGCATGAAGACTATTGCTTCATGACTTCATCACAAGGTGGAACAGAACATTTTGAGCTTTGGCGATGTAGACAGACTAATAAAAAAGAGTTACTCAACCATGTGGGAATGAAATAAAACACAACTGCAGGTTTGTTTTTGAGGAGGTAACAACATTATAGCATGACCTAACGCTTACAAGAACCAAAGTCCTATTACATTTAATTATTTTTGAATATTTGGATATACAAACTGGTCCTGCTTCTTTTCAGAAATCTTTTTGCACAAGATGAGACTGAAACTCACAGTGCAAGACAAGTTCCACAGTTTTTCCCCTGTCCCAAACTGCAAAACCAGCAAAGTACTGTAAATCTCATGTCTTGGATGTTGTAGATAAACGGAGTGAATAAAGAGAGCGGACAGTGGACGGTGGATGCATAGACATGAGCTCTGAACAGGACTGGACTGGTTTAACAGGTGGAGCTTCATATGCACAAGGCTCTCTGCTGTTCAGTCTAATCTAATAGGAATTTAATCTGATCGTTCTACTAAAAGTCACTACATTTGACATCTGCAGTCAGTTTGATGGTGGAGATCAGTTTGCAAAGTGACTAGGAGAAGTTTTCGGTTTATGTTTTCATATTATGGGATAATACCTAAAGTTTTACTAAGTTGTTGCTCCAAACTGATTTTTTGTCTGATTGATGGACTTGAAAGTTGTGCAGGACTTCTACTTATGATGCAACAATCCTGGAAAAATCCAAACCGAGGATTTTGTGGCGGCTTAGAAGTAGCGGATTTACTACACAAGATTCATAACACAAACGTGAAATAAACGAGACACATTGAGCTTGTGACACCTGTGGATGTGATAATTTAGTAATTTGAAATCACAATATTGATCAATAACAACATTATTAGTGAAAAAAATCTGATGAATTCTACGTTAGAAAACTGCGGTGCCCACATGGGAGCTGACATTGCAGTAAACGTCATCACAACAGAGCACCGTGCAACTGTCAGTACCTCCTGTGGATAGCTGTAGATCACATTAGCGAGTGTCAGACTTGTTTCATTGGTAACAAAATCAGAGACTAAAGGTGGAAATTAGGTATTTAGTTATAATCTGGTGCGGAATATCTCAGTTTTTATGACCTTAATGTCTCTGTACATTGTCCATACAAATAGAGACTTAATTAAAAAATGACACTTTGCATATCACGATTAAGAAAATAGAACTGGAGAACGTAGTAAGCAGTGGGCGTAAACAGGTGGAGGTGAAAATGGGGGTAGATCGGAGCAATGACTTCTTGAATACAGGAAAATAAACATTACTCAAACATGTATGAATCACTCTAAATACAACTTCGAGAGGGTAAATGAGAACCATGACACTATAACATGGTTTAAAGCTAGTCTAGTTTTAATGCAATAATCCTCAAAAAATCCAAACTGAGAATTTTTGCAATGGCCTAGATGACACAAAATTCCCTAAATACAACTCAAGGTATATTTTTGATGAGGGAACGATGTTATAACATGATTGAAAACTCAAAATAGTCAATTTTACATAATATATTCCCTTTCCAATATTAGATTTCTATTTTGAGCTTTCTAAAAATGATTCTTGAGTCCCTTTGAAATTAAAATGGATCAGACTGCATAATAAGTGTGTCTCTGATCAGACAGAGTAAAGTGGGGCTCTTACGAAGGAGCATTTGTATATGTCTTTTATTATTACACAATGATGCAAATCTGGGGACAGTCCTGAACAAGAGTTCATCTAAAAACACAGTGAACACTGAAGAATAAATAGCAAATGTGACAGAACATATCGAGTGGGTTTTATTATAAAAGAACACAAGTGCAGCACTGGACATTTTGTAATCTGACGCATTCGTATGCTGCTGGAAAAGTTCAGGTCAGTTAAAGGTGCACTTCAATGTCCCTGTGGCAAAATGTCTTATTATAATATAAACTAATAATATCCCTTTAATATTAATAAACTCATCTGCTCAAGTAATATTACATAATCATCCCACTGCAGCCACAGCCAGCGTCATTAGTATCGTCTATACTAGTCCATGTGAATGACAGAGAGCCTGACCACACCACAGAGAGTCACTTTGTTCTCTGTGTCCATGTGCTCCAGACAGGCTCACTCAACCAGCACAAACTTTACATAATGTATAGGCGAGTTTCAGCTGACGTCATTGTTATTAAAAGCCCGCGTTGCATGCTGGGAAATATTTTGGTCGGAGGCAAGAAACACGATAGCGTCAAACACAGTGCGTAACCTCGCACATTTATCCCCGATAATGGTAAATTCCTGCTGCATTATCGGATGCACAAATAGAAGCACGGAAGAAGGAAAATGTCTTTTTCGTATTCTGAGTGAAAAGAACCGCTAACGGCGAATTAAACGGCTTTCAAACATCCGCAGAGCAAACGTAGAAGATCCTAGCAAACCGTGGACTCCAACAAGTTCAACAACGCATCGAGACTCTTGGAGGTTTTCATCTTTTCTGCTGTGAATGGCCCAGGAGTTTCCACCAAGTCATTGTGGATATCGCCGAAGTGAATATTTGTCCAGGTAGTTTGCGATTCTGAAAAGAAATTTGGTTTGGTCCACCTTTTGTAGGGGTTGAAAAGGGTGATTTGGCTCCATCGATGCTTATGACCCATTTCTGGTCAAATCGTCTTGGGTCCTCTGCCGTTGAGTGGATAAATAACCGGGATCAATACCCTTTAAATGCTTTCTCGCTCCGTCCGTCATGTTGAATTAGTGTTTATTGCCGCTGACCAAAATAATTCCCAGCGTGCAATGCGCGCTTTTGTCAACAATGAAACTCACCTATTACACTCATAGATTCAAGACTGTTCCTTCAAGACTGCTCCTTTTATCTGTTTTCACATTCATTATTTTCAGCAGTTTGGCCCTTTAAGCCAGGGATGTCCAAAAGTTTTCACACAGGACCACAGGGCACATTGAGGGCTTCACACTGAGGGCCACAGACCGGTGCTCATCACAGTGAGTTGGTCTGATGGGTGTAAATTATTGAGGCTGAAATTACTTTCAATAAAAATTACTGCCTACGATGGACCAATTCAATAGTATGAGGCCAACAAACACTGGTGTAAGCTTCATATTTGTCCTGAGACATTTGGGTTTATTTATATTTTTTTATGTTTACACTGTAAAATAATTTGTATTTTTTATAATACTTAAGTAGCAGCATATTTTTACTACTAATTGAATAATATTTTTATTGAGTACCAGTTCTTTTACTTGGGTACAATAATATGACAGTAAGAATAAAGCATTAAATAATCTGGAATTTTCAAGTGGTAAACACAAAAAATGTTGTAAAGAATTGCACATTATTTAATGCTTTACTCTTCAAATTACATTAACTTCAAATTATAAATTAACAGATCCCGACACAGGACATCCCGACATATATTAGTTTTCCCATACTTTTTACTTGATATTATTTTGAAGTAACGTTACGTTTTCTTGAGTACCATCCTTTATTATGACTAAAAAAAAGAGTTTAGTTAGATGCATATACTGTATATATTTTAAATCCAAATAGGAAGTTCACATGTGGACTCTTCCAGCTCCTACTGACCCTGGCTCCCGTTGACTTACATTGGAATATTGTCACCCCATTCTCTGTAACTGCTGCTGTGAGTCCTGTCATTTTGGTCTTAAAATGTATTATGTATTAACCCGATCTATATGATACTGGGTTTTGTTTTTGCTGTTTTATCCATCAAAAGAAATCCTATTTAAAATATAGAGCTGGGGTCATCAAGCCTTTGCCCCTCTGCGCCCACCATGT